GAAAAATAGTTTATAGATAAACAGCTTTCTGATTCTTAAAGTTAGGCTCTACAGGACATTCTGAACTACCAAGATGGCGGCTTAAATTAACTACAGAAGCACCACGTTTGGTGATGGCAGCAGGTGTGGGGCGGGTTAGCTGCTCAGAAGCAAAATATCATAGTGGCTTTTTTTAGTCCCATGTGTACCTTGAAATACCAACATTACAAAGGATGGCATGCAGGTGCCATCTTGGCAATCCTATACCCCTTTCCCACTGGCCAAAAAACCTGTTCAAACCGGCAAAATATTGGCTGGTAGTGACAGTGGAAACAGTCACTGAACCTTGTCGACCCGGGTTATAACGGCTCGGCTCTAAACAGCATACAGTGGGAACAGCTGTGTCGTCCCGCTAATTTGTGTGATACCATTGAACGCAACTAACGTACATCACAACATTGCGCCAGTCGTGTCTGATCTGACAGCAAAAAACAACTCTGCTTGCCCTCCGTTGTTTACTTCCCTTATTTCTTTTGTACTGGTGACATCATCAGAGGCCATGTAGCGGATAGCGAGGGGTTAGACCAGCTTTCTTTGCCAATGGGAAGGGAGCCAAATGCCGATAGTTAGCGGATCGACCCATAATTGAAAAACACGTTTTGAGCAGCAGGCGCAGCGCGTCTGAGCAGTTAAAGCAGCGCATCATGAGCAATTGAGCATCTGGTTTCAAGGCACAGATACAGGGGACGCCCACAGAGATGTACCCCTCTGAAGTTCCCAGTGGCCTCCATCATGGGTCGATGGAAGAAGGTGGGAACCAACCAGCACTCTTGGTGGAGCTGGCCACCCGTCTAACCTGACCTATGACAGGATAAGTATCAGGAAAAGGGAACAAGTAACCCATGGTCAGAGCTCCAGCGTTCCTTTGTGGAGATAGAAGAACCTTCCAGAAACACAACCATTGCTGCACCAATCAGGCCTTTATGGTGGCCAAACCGAAACCCCACCCCCTTTTTTTTTTGCATTTCATGGAACTTAAAAGAATCAGCAATGCATTGAGCAAAAGTGTAAATGTCAGTGGAGGCGCAAAGGGACCAGACGGCAGTGAGGGGTTTTAAAATCACGTGAGGGAGAAGAGAGAAACAAGATGTTTAGAAGGAACAATGGATGATCCAGCAGCCCATCTGTTTATCCTCCTTTTAGTGTCAGTCTAATAGAAATGCTGGAGTATTTTAGTTCAAGATAGGGTCTCTCCATCCTTAAGATGTCTGCCAATGTTGCTTTTTTTTATGTTATGTTTTTGGAAGGGGCATTTCCTGGACCTGGGAACATTGGGGGCTGAGGAATCCAGGGCAATCTTGGGAATTTAATCAGGAAAAATATCTTTATTAAGCATTCTGGCACAACGTTTGAAGCTGAATCCTTCAATAGATAAAGTCTGCTGTATAGAGACAAAACTTTGGAAAGAAATTATTGTCACTCTTGGATGAAATGAAGAGCAGTGGAGAAAGCAATTTAAAATTCTTGCTGGCAATATATAAAAACAGTTACTGGCTCATGTTGTGTCTTACATCCTGAATGCATCTTAATAACCAACATCTAACAGCTAAATTACACTATTATATATAGTTTTTCATTTTGAGCATCTGGCTTCTTCATTGTGATTATTTGAGAAAATGAATAATGAAATAAACATTCAGGGCTGACTTATTTAGATTTTTAAGCTTTTAGCTATACTGAAGCCTACAGAAGTTATCCTTTAAAGAAAGATATAGAGAAGATTCATTATTTTAAACTTTGTCTAAAAAAAAGTTTCATGGTTAAATCGGTTTCAGCAAATACAACCACTTTAGTTATTTAATGATTTGTATTTTTTAATATAACTACTATATATAAATTAAACGTGTTTTCCAGGAATTCTTCAGTGTTTGTTCCTCTCCTGACTGAATCTATGGAAGCATGAAATGAACAACTGGACAACATGTGGAGCAACAATTCATGTCGATTCAAAACATAGTTTTATATTTATAATGAGCTTTGTTATATAAAATCACATTCATAGATTAGATTTGTTTCCTTTTTTGATGATAATATATAACAGTAATACATTTGATGCATCGGCACTTTTAATAAAACAAATATAGTTTACAAGGTTATTGAAAGCTTTATAGTGTGGATGAAGATCTTGAAGCGGATCTGCTGCTTTATGGAGCCAGTGAAGGTGTTTCAGGAGGGTTCTATGTTACACAGATCTACGAATGTAACTCACATTTTTAAAGAAGTCTCTTATGTGTCTGTTTTCAGACCTCTTGGCTCTGAGCCTAACAACCAAACACACAAACAAACATGAGACCAATTCAAAGATTTGTGTAAATTAATACAGCTGATATAACTCATTTACAGCAGCAGATTCCCTCACCAACGGTCGTCTTTTGCAGACCTACCTCCTTCTCTAACACCTTTCACAGATCAGATTGAGAGGCACATCAGATGTTTGCAAAGTGAGCTTCTCAGGAGGGAGTGACAGCGCAGAAAAGATGGAGGTCCAATCAGGAGCTTTTTGGTGGTCTAAACTCAAGGAAGTGCGCTTCAGTTCGACCTGCTTGGTCCTAGTGCTCAATTTTCTGCGTACTGTAGGGAAGATTGGACACAGGGGACCAAAATGGACATTCAAAAAATTGCAGGGGACATATCACCTGGGTCCACCTCCAGGTAAACACTCCCAGACCTCACCGTCAATCCTCACCAAGTGGCTTTGAAAAGAGGGAAACTGCTCTGTTTTCTCCTTCTACAAGTTAAGCTTGGTCCGCTCCGCATTCACCGCCGTAGAGTTGCCCAGGTACCCGTCGCACGGAGGCGGATTAGAGGGGAGGATGGAGGACCTGTTGCTGCACCTGACCAGTACCGCCTGTGGCTCGTTGCCAGCCCTCATCGCAGCCCCCAAACCAGCTACACCATTGCATTTACTAGGAATGTGTATAACAGGGGATGGATGGGAGTTTAGCTAAATGGAGAGCAGGCTTTAAATCATGTCATCATAAATGAGCTGCCTGATGTTTACATCATTTCAAAAACATCTCAGATCTGAATCACTTTTTGGTTTTCCTGTTCCATGGAGGATCTTTCCGCCCACTGCCAGTCTCCACAGGAGATTCATGATCTTCCTTCAAAATGTCACCCTTCTGCAGTGAAAACTCTAAATCTTATCAGCGGTGATGGCCAATAAAACATGGATAACATCTACACATACTTGATTGGTCAGAGTCGGACCTGTGTTGCATTCACCGGAGCTGGGAAATTATGATTTAATCCCGCAGAGCGGCTCAGGTTTCTCATTCTGTGTACTTGTGCGTTCTCATGTATTCGTGAAACGTCATCATCCTCAGCCCTAGTGCTGTTCCAATTCACAAGAACAGCAAACCGAGAACAGATAAAGTCCCCAGATGTTGTTCTGGCCCCTCCCTCTTTACCCAGCATGCATCAGAGCAGACTTGTCCGTTCTCCACATAGACATTATATAGGTAGACGCCTGATTGGATGCTGGCCGACGTGTCTAGAGGGCGGCCATCTTGGATCAGACCACCGTTCAGACAGCTGCTGTCTGAATGAATACGAGGTGCCTTAGATCTCATTTTAATGACATGAAAGACGAGTCAGAGATAATATTACAATAATCTCACATGTCACGACCCCCTTTAAAGACCAAAACTAATTCTAAAATTACCTTTTAGTTAGATTACACAGTTTTATTCAGAATAAAAGCTATTTAAACTAAACTCAAACTGCATGAGATATATGCAAAGTTATTTATTTTGAAAATAAATAATATTATAAACACGAAATATTATATCAATATACTATAACATTATGTTTTACAAATCTATATTTTAGATGTTGGAGCTTGGCCTGTTTTCCAGTGTAGTCCTGTTTCTCTGACTGTGACTAACTGGATGTGCTCTCTTCATCCTCTGACATGGGAGCTGGCTCGGAGCTCGTCTGCCTGGCTGTGTGTTTCCTGGACGGGGCCGCCTGTGGAGCTGGTTGACAGTTGCCTTTTGTATCTATGCTTCTTTTTCTATGTCTGCTTCTGTCTCCTTGAACCCCAGTGGGCCTCAGCAGATGGCCGCTCACACTGAGCCTGGTTCTGCTGGAGGTTTCTTCCTGTTCAAAGGGAGTTTTTCCTCTCCACTGTCGCTACAAGCATGCTTAGTGTGAGGGATTGCTGAAGAGTCAATGAGTCGATGCAATCAGCTGGTTTTCCTTAGATAGAAAACTTTGTATCAATTTGACTGGATGATCTGGTGAACTGGAAAGTGCCTTGAGGTGACATGATGTGAATGAAGCTATGAAATAAACTGAATTGAAATTGAATTGAATATATTTATATAGTATATTATTATTATTCAATACTTTTAAGGATTGCTCTACGATAATGAGTATTATGAGCTATAGAGGACAATTTGTTGTAATGTGATTTACAAAAGAAAGTAATTTTTTTTCTGTTAGTTTTATGTTAACTTTTATTTATTTTTTGTCATTGTCATGACTTTGTTGTGTCTAACTAAAGACTTTTTGTCTAAACTTTTGCTAATATAAAGCCTTTTGGACCAGTTGCTTCATAAGTACTAAACAGATAAAACGTTTAGAAAGGCTAACTCCTAGCTTAGCTAATCTCAGAATCAGCTGCTCTGGATTATTGCAGTTTAAAAACAGATCAACTTAGATCATCCATAGAGTTGCTGGCGTTACGAACAAAGGTCATCCTTGTTTCTTTTAACGAAAAACGAAAATGGTGAGATGAAGTAGAAATAAAGACCAAAGCAGGGAAAAGATGAAGAGGAGCAGCTCGGACAGATTAAAGCTGAGTCGTTTCTAAAGGTCCGTCTTTCAGCATCATCCTGATGTCAACAAAGAAAGTGGATCAGCCTCCCACCATCATATCAGAGCTCCGGTTCCTGCAGGACCAGAACCTTCTGCATTAAAACCTAAAGGTTAAATACAGAAACATTTTCCACACTTACAGCCGGTCCAGTCTGTCTGAGTCCTTCCTCCTCTCAAAGCAAACACTTTCCCAGTCAGCTGGATCCTTCCACACCTGTGTCCAGTACCGGTACCACCGGGTCTCCCTCCAATGCTCGTCTCTGGGCGATTCAGAGACAGCAGCACGTTTAGTTAGAGTCCGATGGCCCTGGTTGTCTCAGTGGGACAGCTTTCATCTGCTCCCCTTTCCCCTCTTTTCCATCCCACTGTTGTGACACCCCAGCTGCATTTTTTTTGCACCTTCTCTCACTCGCTGGCGTCCCGCACGAAGGAGAGGTTACCCACAGCCCAGAATAAAAACCCAAAGAGGCTGTTTTCCTTCAGCTGACTGGAGCGGCTGCTCTCCGTGTCCCTCAGCCACATGCAATTCACTCACTTTTTCTCTTTCTCCCCGTCTGACATGCAGGCTAACCCCTCCCCTCCCCCTCTCTGGTTGGCGTGTTCCCAGGACAAAGACAATGATGGAGGGAGAGACGGCAAAAAGAGGCAGGAGCAGCTTTTACTTTCTGCCCTTCCACACGTGCAGGACTATCCAAGAGCAGGAAAGCCCAGAGCTCATCCAGATACCGCCTCAAACACGGAAATAACTCAGGCAACCAGACTCCAGGAGAAGCAGCTGCTGCAGAAAATAACCCCGGGACAAAAATCCGCAGAAAATATGACCTCAACTTCTTTCTGCTCCAGTCCAGCAACTCAGCCAATCACAAAGGAGATCACAGTAAGCAAGAGCCCTTCAGCCAGAACTACAGCAGCAGGAAGAGCAAAACAGACAAGAATGGTTTGGTAGAACATTTCAAGCTGGATCCTGACGGTCCTGGAACAAACCTCCATTGAGAGGCTGACAGATCAGTGCCTCCTAACAGATACAGAAGGTTTGGTTGCTTATGGAGCAAGAAATACGGCAGGAAACAATTTCAACATGGCTTACAAATAACGTATAAAGGCTGGTACCGGTCCAAATCACAGGAAACCAAAGTGAGGATCAGAAAAATACAAATGATATTTCAAACATTTCAGATTTTCTGATAAAAAAACAAAGATTTTATTCTGCATTTAAAGGAACCAACAGGTTCTGGTCTCCAGGGACTTTGTTCTGGATCTGGTGGTGGTTCTGGTTCTATAAAGGCTGGTCAGCAGCTCTCTGAAGACCTGAGGGGCCTACATGGTCCATATGATGATCTGAGCAGAACTCAGAACCCGGCCCATTGAACCCTTCAGTTGTAGGGTTTCAGCCCGTCCCCAATTAGATCCATGCATCCAGATACAGTCATGCATCCAGATACAGGGTATCCATCCATAAAGTAGATAAAAAGTATAAAGTAGATAAAGAGAAACTTACACTTTTAGACATGGCTGAAGCCGCTATTATCAACGATAAACTGCAAATTATCAGCCTACTAGAAGGTAGAGGAGGCGCAGTCTGGAGGCATTTTAAGGGACTGATAGCCCCTAATAACTGCCATTAAATGCTTGATCACATCCAAAGCAGGTGTTTTAGCAGCCTTTGGGAAATCCCACACTTACACGTTCTACATTTCAGGCCCACTTCGAACATACTCGCCAATAGTCGGCGTAACGCACCCCTTTCCCAGTAGCCGTAAAACCCGTTTAAACCAGGGAACAACGGGCTTTTAGAGGCAGTGGGAACGGCTCACTGACGCGTTGATCGTTGATCTATCCAGGTCAAACGACTCGGCAAGCGACCTGCGATAAAATCATCTCGGCTCTGATCGGCATGCTGCGGGAACACCAGATGCTGCAGACCCGCTAAATTACATGATACCGATAAACGCAACTTACAGACGTCAACACACTGCGCCAGTAGCTTCTGATCTAACAAGAAGAATCAACTCTGTTTACATTGGATAAACATGGAGCAGCTCTGGTGAGAGGGATTCAGATAGATAATAGAGAGAAACAATAAAGCACAATGCCTACGCCCTGCCTTCCTTCCATGTTGCTCTCCATTGTTTATTCTCCTGATTTCTGTCGCACCAGTGATATCATCAACGCAAACCCAGTGTGATGACGTCAGCAGACACGCAGCGGCGAGGGGACAGAGACCACGCTGCTGCCAGTGAGGGGTTATACCAGTTTTAACCAATAGGAAGGGAGCTAAATGTCGATTATTAGCGGGTCGACCCAAGTTTGAAAAACTCTTCTTAACCTGCTATTGTCAGTGTAAAAAAGTAGCAGCCATTCAAAATGGCCCTTCCCAGTCAAACACCAGCCGAATGGCTGCCAACTTCCAGCCACTACAGCGACCCCCCTCCTGTATATTTTTTACTCTGACTCCACCCTTTCACTGAATTACAGGGTCTGACCAGGAGATGGCGCTTCTCTTTAGATCTTAATGTCCACAAATCATGACAGAAAGAATATTTTAGTACAAAGATTGATGTTTAAAAATAAATTGAAGGGGACCAGCCAAGGACCAACCAAGAATCATCCAAGAACCAACCAAAGACCATCCATGGACCCATCAAGGAGAGTGGGGAAATTTTGAATGGCTTCTACTGTAACAGCTGTTAATTAACTTCTATTCTCTGTGTGGCCTCATCTGTCTGCTCATAGCAGTTTGTGAACAAGGCCTAAATGTTAGGAAACTGTTTTTTTAAAAGATCAGTGTACTATTCCAGGGATTCCCTGTAAACTTCAATGAGCCATCCTAACAAGTCTGTCATTGAAACACCAAGTTTTCCAGCAGAAATCCAACAGCAGCAGTGGAAACAGTATCTCTGTACCTGTAGATACACACATCAGTGGCTGGCAGGGCAGCTTCCAATCTCTCTACTATACGTCTGCTTATGAAAAACCAATGATAATCCATGGATGACCCAGTTCATTCAGCCCGTCGCTGCCTCACTGCACCAGTGACAGGCTGGACATCACGTGATCCGAGATGTGCAGCAAACCTAACTTCAAATAATAAAGCTGCTATTAGGGAAAACATCTAACTACAATTACCATCTGCTTTTCTAAAGGCACAAGGAGAGAAAATTCATTCTGCTTTTTAATTTACCTGCAAAGATACTTTAGGGTAAAAGGGTTTGTGACCCTTATTCCAAGTAATACATTTCCTCTTATTGAGGGGAAAAGGTTCCAACACATTCTGGAAAAGTAGGAAATTAAATTCAAGTATTGATTTGCCTGTTTAAAGCCTCGTTCCAGTTTTGAACCCTGTTTTTCAAACATGGGTTGAGCCGCTAACAATCGCTAACAATCTGCATTTTCGCTTCCCTCCGAATGAACTGGGCAAAAAAAGCTAGGCCTAAGAGTAGAAATATACTTTGGGTTGCCGCGCCGGACTGTGTGCGCCATGTGCACGGCTATAGAAGCGTTGCCATGGAAGCGCTGTTCACTTATATAGGTGACAAAGTTGTAGGTGCAGTACTCAAAAGAACCACAGAGGGACAGTGATCAACACAAGCAGAAGGGCAAAAAAAATAGAACAGTTGATGTCCCACTTCCAAAATGGCTGAGCGCTGTATTGTTCATTTAAGAATTGATGATTACTGAAGAATAATAGGGTTAGGGTTGGTTACACAGAAATATACAGTGGATTAAAACGGCAGGTTTAGCTGCTGCACACAGAGGCGTGACGATGCAGAAACCAGCTCACCTGTGAAGCCATGCGGACCTTCCTTTATTTTTTAATAACATATATAAAAAAAGTTTAACTAAATGAATACTGAAGGCACTGAATTCAATGCTTAGTTGTTTCAGACTGTATATTATAGGTGATGAAAACAGAAACTAAAATCCTTGTTTGGCTTGGAGAATAAACTCGTCCCTGTTTGCTGTTTTCAGTCACTGAATAAACGGGAATAACTCTGCATATGTCCCCGTTTGTGGATGACATGATTGTGTCACTTACGGCACTCGCCCCCTCACGCACTGTGCGACGTGACGACTAAAAACCAAGCTTAGCCCCTTGCTGGCAGCTGCCTGCCGTGTGTTCCACCGTCGCTGCGTGTCTGGAGACATCATCGCACTGGGTTAGCATTGATGATGTCATCGGTGCGACATAAATCAGGAAAGTAAACAATGGAGAGCAACATGGAATGAAGGCAGGGTTTAGTCAGTGTGCTTTATTTTTTCTCTCTATTATCTGTCTGAATCCGTCTCACCAGAGCTGCTCCATGTTTATCGAATGGAAACAGAGTTGATTCTGCTTGTTAGATCATAAGCGCCTGGTGTGGTGTGTTGACGTCCGTACGTTGTGTTCAATGCTATTATGTAAATTAGAAGGTCGACCCCGCTCTGGTGTTCCCACAGCCTAAAGGATTTTTTCCCATCTTTAGCAGTCCAGGGTTTAACTTGGGTCGCTTGCCAAGTCGTTTGACCAAGGTAGAAACGCGTCAGTGAGCTGTTCCCACTGACACTAAAAGCCCATTCTTCCCAGGTTTTAACGGTTTATTTGCTCTTTCCAGACCTTCTTTTGTCCGATTCTGCTTATGCCCAAAGCCTGTGATCTTCTTCATCCCTGGTCACACATCTGATATTGTTCTGCTGGAGTTTGCTTTCCAGCTTCTTCCTGTATGCCTCCTTGCTTCTCTTATCTTGACCTTGAGTTGCTTCAGTAAATTCCTCATTCCCTTCCTAAAGGCTTTTTTCCCATCTTTAGCAGTCCAGGGTTTAACATTGTGGAAGCATCACAATGTTCTGATGGAGATAATGTTATTTACACAGAAGATTACATAGTCAGTCACAGACTTAGTCATTGCATTGATGTCCTCTCCATGTGGCTGACAGGACATCACATTCTGCAGCCTCGAAACAACCTTGCAGGGATTATTCAGCTTCCTGTGACCATCTTCTTACAGTTCTCATTAAAGCAGATCGTCTGTGATTAAGGAGCACAAGATTGTGATCCAATTTCCCAAGAAGAGGTCTTACTTTAGATATATATGTATATGAGTCTTGAAATTTCTATAAAAACATGTCCAAAATGTTGTTTTCTTTAGTAGAGCAGCTGAAAAACTGTTGGAATATTTGAAGATAGTTTTTTGTGATCAAGATCAAAAGTTACAAATGAATCAGGCTATGTCCGCAACAGAATGTGGAGTATAAAAAGTTGCAAAAACAACATTGGTGAACTTTGGGTAAATAATATGGATGAAACTGTCAACAGCTCAATATGTGGGCCATAGAGACGTGCGCAAAAAAAGCTACCTAACAGGATGAGCACGTATAACCACCTAACATAAACATATTACAAGAATGATTGACAATTACTAGACCTCAACTACTATTTCAACTTTTTTGACGTTAATCAGGTGTTCCCTGTTGCTCTCGGTTTGCTCACAATAACAGATGTTCCAAAATAAAGAGGCACTAGCAATAATACTGCAATGTTCAATCACCTTGAGCAGTGCAATTTTAGAATGCCAAGTACTACGAAAGTACTTGTTAGGGTTGTTAAGTTTCCCCAACCTTAACCCATAAAAACTGGAAACAAAGACAGTGAAAGATTTTTCCTGAAATGCTTTGCAAAGGGGAGTCCAGAGTTGAACCGTAAATCTCTGCATCTCCGCTTGGCTCAACACTTGCCATGCTTTTTATTGAGCAGTCAACACTAGGGCTGCAACAAAGAATCGATAAAATCAGTAAAAATCGACTTTTAAAAGCGTTGGCAACGAATTTCATCATCAATTAGTTGTGTCGCGCGATTAATGCGTCATCCGCCGCCGCCGTCATCACTGCCACTTGACTGAAACGGGGGAAGAAAAAAAAAAA